ACCCTGAACCCTAAACCCCAAACCGGCGTTCCTCCAGGGTGCGGGGGTTTAGGGTTTAGGCCTCGCGGGTCGGCTGTCAAGGCTTTTGTGTAGCAAAATCTGACTATGAGTTGGATCGTTACCACTATTATCGGTTTAGGGTTTAGGGTTTAGGTTAGAAGTAGATATGTATGGTATATCAGATAAGTTTTTAGGCAATATTAAGCATGTTAATGATATTAAGGTCACAAGACTCGGCGTTCTTCTGGTTGGCTCTTAGGACTTTAACTTTCTGTGTTCCTATATGAACTATCATAAGAAGGCCAAAAGTTTGACTTTTAGGAGGGGTTCAGAGGTCAGCCAAGGAGATATCACGACAGAACCAAGTCTTAATCAGGCGTAACTCCAGGCGCATGAACTCATAAACCCCATCCAGTAGAGTCCTCATAAAACCTAACGCCCTTCAAATCCTCCGCACACGAAGCCCGAAAACTCTCTCGAACTCTTGACCAAAATCTGTGAAACAGCCATACAGACCCATAGAGTCAGAGTCTAACCTAAACCCCTAAACCCCAAACCCTAAGACCCTAAACCCCTAAACCCCTGAACCCCTAAACCCCTAAAGCCCCAAACCCCTAAAGCCCTGAACCCCTGAACCCCATACCCTAAGACCCATAAGAGTCAGAGGCCCATGGTCTCTGTGATCGGCCCGCCCGCGGCCTCCGCATCCTGCGCCCTTGCCCTCAGGGCGGAGGCATGGGAGGCCGGGGCCTGGGGCTTTCTTGGGGTTTAGAGTTTAGGGTCTAGGGTTTAGGGTTTGGGGTTTAGGGTTTAGGGTTTGGGGTTAGGGTGTAGGGTTTGGGGTTTAGGGTTTAGGGTATAGGGTTTAGGGTTTAGGGTTGAGAGTTTAGGGTTTAGGGTTGTCGCCTTGGGCTTGGGGGGTGTGGCCGTTGTTGCATATTTTAGGTGTTAGCGTTAGGGGTTCGAAGTGTTTTAGGGAATTGTAAGGTTAAGGCTGGCAGGGGGGGGGGCTCTTGCTTCTGGGAGGATTTAGGGTTTGGGGTTCCTTTAAAGGGATACTAGCAGGGTTTGGGGTTTAGGGTTCCCTTGAAAGGGATACTATACGTGTTTGGGGTTTAGGCTTCCTGTAAAGGGATACTACCAGGGTTTCGGGTTTAGAGTTTGGGAGTTGGTTTCTGTACGGCCTGTTTAGGGTGACAAACAGTTGGGGTGCGAGCTGCGAGTTGACCCTGAACAAACCACATAATGCAAAATAAAACCGTAATCCAACATTTAGGGTTTAGGGTTTAGGGCAACCGCAACAGAGCCTTCACAAATCCCTGTGCAAAATGGTCAAACCCGCAGACGACCCTCAATAAAGCCCGTATTCAAGCACTGTAAGTCACCAGACAGTCCTAAACCCTAAGTTGAAGGTTGCTTCAATGGCTTCTCGGGGGCCGGGTGAGGGGCCCCGCTTCGAGTACGCCTGGTCCTGCCTGGTCGGCGACATGGCGGAGATGAACGAGACTGGGAGATAAAAAAGCTTAGGGTTTAGGGTTTAGGGTTTTATACACTATCGGGGTTGCCATAAGGGCCCCTAAACCCTAAACCCCAGAGCCACCATGATAGGCCGATAGTAGGGTTTTATATCGTTTACGAAGTTTAGGGCTTTCTTGTTCGTGTGCTTTTTGGCTCTCCTGATTTGGTCTTCAAAGCAAAAAGGGCTCGTGTGCAGGATCCAAAGTAGTTGGGGTGGAGTATGGGGTCTTCGGGTGCACAAAATGTCACACTGAAGGCTTCCATATTGCAACCCTAAACCCTAAACCCTAAACCCTAAACCCTAAACCCTAAACCCTAAACCCGAAACCCGAAACCCGAAACCCTAAACCCTAAACCCTAAACCCTAAACCCTAAGGAGTGCT